GAAGGGTCTAGGCCCAAAACGTCAGCCTTCCTGCTCCTATGATGCTGCTTGGCCTGCTGTGTTCATCCAGCTCTACATCTTGTTATCTCACGAGTAGGAAAAGTTTGATTTCTACAAGTAGAGTTCTATGATTCTTCAATCGCGTTAAAACCGATTCCCATTGAAAAAACATGTTATATCAGAACTGACTGTATACTGTTTGTTGTCAGCGCTGCTCGTTGCACTTGTCCACTAGTCACTGAAAATAAGTGTACAAGGCACCCAGATATTGTTGCATCTCCTTCCTTTCCCAATCTATCATCATTCAGATAATCTGCCATGTGGTTTTGCTACCAAATTGGATAACGTCACATTTGACCACATTATGCTTTCTGTCATCCTCACCATTCAAATTTGGGTCATCAGCAAACTTGCACTTACTTCATTTATATTCCTCCTCTTAAAATTTTATTGGGAAGTTGGTCATAACCGAGTGTGCTGTTGACTGAGGTAATTGCATCATGTTTATGCTCGAGTCCCATGTTCCTTCTTAGCCAGGATAGCAATATGTAGATCTAAAATCAACTTTGCCAAACTTGGATTTAAGTGAAAAATTCCTAAATGCTCCAGCAGCCCAGCTGGATATTATGGAATTTGGAGGCGTTAGTTAGGCCAGGGCTAGATGGTCTTGTAGCATTTTATAATGTAAGACTGCTGTCTCTACCCAGCTTAATAACATGAATTTGAACAAAGAAGCAAAAATACCTGTTGTACACTAACCAGAAGCTTAATTGAGCCAGCCCTATAAACAATGTAGCTACATAAACAAGTCAAATGTGGAGTGAGACCAGTGTTCCCTGTGTTTCTTATTTTTGTTGCTATGTATGTGTCTCAGGTTCATGGTCAGCATCAGCTTCCAGAAATGAAAGCCATTCATTGGCTCACCAATTTGTGTGTATAGAACTTTCCAGCAGCTCTGTGGCCACACAACTTACAGGGATCATTGTCTGAGACTACTAACTCATCCCTGGGTCCCCCAAAGCCTGTGCATTATTTCAAGGCATAGCGCAGGTGTGATGGAATACTCGCTCCAATTGCTTGACATATGCAGCACAAACAGCACAAGAGCTTTAGACCATCCAAGACAAAGCAGTTGGTACCTTGTCTACCATCGTAAATGTTTATTTTCTCCAGCAGTACTGCCGAGTGACAGCAGGTACAAGATGCTCTGTAACGACTCATCAACATTCTTTGATAGTGCCTTCCAAACCCACAACACCTACTATCTAAAAAGCAATGCCATCAGGCACAGGAACACCATCAACAGTAAGTTCTATTCTAAGTCTGTCACAATTCTGTCTTGGAACTATATTCCTCTCCACATGGTCACTGGTCCAAAATCTTGGAATTCCCTCCCTATCTTCCTAGTTCACTTTAGCCAGCTTTGTCTTCAGGATCAGATGGACTTATTCTAGGATCATAAAAGTTACTGCAAAGACAGATCCATACGTTGTAATTTT